AATTTACATCTTACAAAAGTTACATCTACATCACAATTTTTTTTTCTTTGAAACTGCCAAAAGCATATATACATATGCCATTTGTTTTTGTGCCTCAGTTCATGTTCTAATCAATGTAATTAAGCATATTTTTCAATTGTGGGAAACAGAAAACAGAGAAATTCTGTTTGTGTTGATTGTACATTCTGAAAATGAGGAATGTCTATGTGAGAAAATAAAAATTCAAATAACTTCTATTTGTGCAATTGAAATTTCTTCCAAAATTCCAAGAAGATTACTATACAGTGGATAGCAAATTGCCTTGCCTAGCTGCTAGTTGATCAACATAAATAGTACTTGAACTTGGCATACATTCAAAGAGATGAGAAAAATTGTTTGCTAGTCATATAATATCTTATACACAATTGGAAAAGAATTAAAAATCTTTCCAAAATTAAATATTTTTTATAAATTCAAAGGCTTTGTAACATAATGACAGGCCTCGGAGTCGCTCACTTTTCTCACTTGTACTCACTTTTCTGAAGTATCCTCACTTTTCTCACTTTTCAGGTCATTTTCTCACTTTTCTCACTTTTTTGGTCATTTATACGTGCTTAAAAATTAAGAAGATGTGGGACCAATCAAAAATAGTTTTAAAGCCAGACGATCTGCTGAATTATCGAACTAGCGGACTAGATTTTTATGGAAAAAAAATACTCCGCCCGAGCGGGACTCAAAATCGCAACTGCCGCTCAGTGTTGTTAAATTATCGTCTGTATTTATACGTAACTAGGTAGTCAGTAAGGCTGTGTACACACTAGGCGTTTTTAAACGCGCGTTTTAAAGAACCAAGAGTTCTACATAGGCGTACACACTCAAACGCGCGCTTTTGGCCAAGCGCGCGTTGATAGATTTTTGTTAAAACGCACGTTTTGCGGGCGTCAGCCGAGCGCTTTGAGATACACGTGCTGCTATTTTGTTGTACATTCGATCGCGCGTTTTCGGGTAAAGTGGACGTACGTTGACCGAAATGGAGAACGATCATTTCGATACTGATCTATTTATTGATGAAATCTAAAAGAGACCAACCATTGTCAAATGATTTTATAGATATTTTAAAAGAATTAAAAAACTTGGGTTCATTTTGTCTTAGTTTTGGATACAACGTCGCGAACATTCCATGTGTCAGTCTATCTCGTAATATTGGGTGCACCCAAAATTCTCTTTGCC